TGCTCACATGCTAATGTCAGATTGAATTTAAATACCCGTTTGCACGAATATTAAAATAATATAATTGGTATTCATCTCAGGCCAATCCGTGATTTTAACTGAATGGCCAAATGACTTCAACAGGTTATTTTGGTATTTCTCTTAACTAGTACAGCAGTAAATTTTTACCGTAGCTCCACATACATGTATAGCTATGGGACTAATCTCTTTAATTTAACATTTGTTTATGACAAGCAGGCAAATGGTGATCGAGTTAGTAACAGTCAAAAATCTAATAGAAACAGAAAGAAGAGCAAACTAGGATGATCATATGCCATGTTGGTGTTCTCCCAGTAAAGGGTACACATTGCATTTTGACACGGTAGGAGGTGAGAAAGATGCAGGTCTTTCACAGAATAACGCAGATCAATAATGTGGTTGATATTACAGCTACTAGCAAGTATTCCAGCCTGGATTTTAGCACAATCCATACATACGTTCCAACAGCAATGATCGAAAAAATCTGTAACCGAAAACAGAATCAGCCAGTGCAAAGGGCTATAAACATATCAGATTTAACTGTGCATGGTGCAAACAAACTGTTACTTTATACATGCTCTCTAAGATTACAAATTATTTAAAAAAACTTTCTTTTAGTAAATAAATTATATTTTAATGGAGCAAATGTGTATTAAAGCCCCACTGCACTACTTATAGCTACTTGCGCCCTCTATATGTAGCAAACAATGCCCAAGAGGTGACCGTTGGTCCCCCATGGTCCCCTTTTTCCTAGTTAATTGAGAGCTGATATAATGAGATAACCACCTGCCAGTGACCATTCCAGAGGGGTCTAATCCCCCTGGCCTAACTTCTGCAGATAGGCTTTAAAATACATGGTATATATATATATGTAAAGTGTTTTGACAAATGTTTCTCAGTGCTGTACAATATAACATACAAGATACTTATTTATAATTAAGAGCCAGACTGCCAAACTGGGCCAAAGCCAATCCTTTAATGTACATTTTTACTAATGTTTGCAATGTTCAATATCAAAGGAGAATCCTAGTGACAGAAAAATTCTTCCTGTCTAAAAATGTGCTACTTTCTTTGCCTCATTCTAAACATAGCAGGACACAATCGAGTCTTGAACCTCAGGCATAAAGGATAGAGTTACAATCAAAGCTTACTGTGGTATGCCAAACCATCATCAACTGGGACCATTTGGTTACACATAGTATCCCTTTATTGATGCCATTATCCGTCCCATGGATGGTTTAAGGAGAAGACAACATATCACCTTATCCCTCTCCTATGACCAATATAACACATCTAGAAGCAATACTAAGACTATGCAAGCATGGAATAACAGTGACAAGGGCATTGTCATGTCGGTAGGGATGGGTTGCCTTTGGCTTTAGAAAGAATTGCTCATTTTCGGAAAACTACAGTGAACTTTGAAATTCAATAGGATGTCTTCCAAAGGTTATTACTTATCATTGAGATCACAAGTAGTAACTGGGGAGTAAGTTCTGCATTATTTTCTTAGCCTCTACATTTTTATGAAGAATCACAATATAAACATCTTTGAAGCTTTTAAAATCAGACCTTTCATGTTATGGAATTAACTTATATTGATTTCTTAAGCACAAATAATAATGCATGATTCATATATGGTTTTTATCACAATGTATTTAAGATGATATGATTATGGATGTAAGGTAGTTGAAAATATTTTTGGGGAAAAAAAGATCTTTCAACAACTAAAATTTAAAACAAGATAATTTTTTTAAAAATATAAATCGGATTACATTACTGCTACTTCTAATTTGATCAATGATCCAATCGTATTAATGTGCTTGGACACAAATCATTGAGTGAATTTGCTTTTTCTTTACATTATGCTATGCCTATAGAACTAAAAACTGAATTACATGTACATATATCTTGGAGCTTACTATACCAATAGCTGGCCAATATATTTACAATTCTCCCTTTAATAGCAATGAGAATATGAATGTTCGTTTTAAGGCATTATTTTTAACTTATTCTGTCATAAGACTATAGAACATCTGTCATGGTTATAGATGTTAACAAAATAGTTCTCTTCAAATAGTCGATGATTGTATAACAATATTAGTTGCTCACTCTGAAGATGTTGATAGCCATGCAATATCATATGTCCAAATAAAGGACTGTCATACATTTAAATGTAAATGCAATTTTGCTCAGTAGCAGCATGTTTAAATCATCAAATCAACTCAGCTTTTCCAAGTTTATTAATGCCCTGAGGTCTGAACCCCAGTTTGTTGTATGGAAAATTCATACAGTCTTTGAAGATGAAACTTCTCCATCAGGTTTACAAAACGTGTCATCTGGCATTACTGAGAGGAAAGATAATCATATGCTTGAATCAGAGTCTGGAGGGGAGTCTAGCTGGACTGAAGTTGAAAAGAGAAGCACTTCTTGCAGTCCCCCCTCCTTCGCACCGATATAGCACTAAATTTCGCATCTCAAGTGCGGACCCCTAGGGGTCTGGGGCCGCACTTGTCAAATTACTGCAATTTACATAATCTCACAAGATGGGACCGACTGACACCCAGGGGATGCCTGTATTATACAAAGACAATTTCAAAAGTAAACAGGTTCAAAACAAAGAATTCTTATGGGACTTGGGTATTATTCAAAGAAAATATCTGGCATTACTCAGAAATCCAAAGCTGCCAAACTTGAGGTGTACAGTTGCATTCTACTGATTTTTACATTTATTGAAAAAATAGATGGAAGAAAATGGGGACATCTTTTTACCTGAGATAGCTCAAAATAAAAATGCCAGGAATCTATCTATGATATTTCAGAGATTTGTCACTAAAAATGCAGGAGTCTTAGGAAACCTGCAAATCAATGTTCAAATAAAAGAAATACCAGTACACAAGGAAATATTTTTGTAGTCATAACGATGTTGTAAATACAAATGGAAAATAGAAAATATCTGGACACAAGTGACAATAATCTTTACAATACTTTCTTATCGAAAAAGGAGAAATTAAGCTAAAACCTGGATAAAACCAAAGGATTTGTGGTGTTAACATTACTATAAAGGGGCTATCTCACTGAGCGGCAAATGCTTACGAACGTTACTAATTTTTGATTCGCCAACTTTTCTGATGAATGCTGGCGAAAATCAGAGTTCACCTATGCAACATTAGCCATTTTTAGCGATGTTTAGCAACAATTAGCAACATTTGAGCGAATGTATCAAACTATTCTAGACAGCTAGACTGTCCATTCAGTACATTTTCAGTGATATTTCTCAATGAAATTCAGAGTTTTGAGCATGAACTTAGATTTCCCATACGACATATGAAAATTTCAGCTCTGTCTTGCCGAGAAAGGACAATTTATAATTTGCATGTCATATCTTCATAAGGCCCCCGTAATACAAATATTCACTGCTGATTCGTGTTCTTTAAAGGCAAGAAAATGTTGTCTAAATGTCCCATGGATACAACATGTACAGAATGGCCCTTATGCAGCATCGAATGACACCTGGATACAATACAATGCAACCACATCCTTGCCCTAGCTCACTATGCAGGTAATGTTATTAATCGATGCTACATCAGATATCCTGCAAGCGCCCGACATGTCCTCAGTCAAGTGGACATTTGAAAAGGTCAGTTGGATTTTAGAGAAGACCGAAGAAGGGCACTTGTTCTGTGACTGCAAATATTGTGACTTGCCCTCAAATTGGCGGGATGCGCTGCAGTAAGCAGCTGCACAAGCAAAGCATATTTTCTATCTTGGGCTGAACATCCCAACAAGCAACTTCAAAATCTACATATCAGCGAAAACCAGAAAGGTGAGGGCACTTTGGTTATTGCGTCTAGCTACCAAGCCCCGCCACCGTCAATCCTTGTCCTGAACAACCTCTAGACAGAAAAGATCTTTGTATGCATCAACGATGGTAGATTGGATCAAAATATCAGAATTTTATTTCATCTACACATCCCCAAATTGCAATTCCAAATCTTGCTAGAGAGAGAGAGAGAGAGAGAGCTTACCTCTTCGAGAAAAAAGATATTCATGACATTAAAGGAAAAGTATAGGCAGAGATGAGTTAAATGATTTATTTATTTTGCTGTTCATTTTACTACATCAAAGTTTATTTTTTTCTGACTGAAGTTCTGTGTTTATGTTTTTACATCTTTGCAGCTGTTTGTACAAAGCTGGAACATTCATGACATGCCAGTTATTCCTCAATCATTCATGTATATTTTCATTTTTTCCATGTTATATCATTTTCCTTTTTTAAATCAAACTAAAAAGAGAGAGGGAGAGATAGAGAAAGGGGGAGAGAGAGGGAGAGATAGAGAGATAAAGAGGGAGAGAGAGAAATAGAGAGAGAAATAGAGAGAGATAGAGAAAGAGAGAAATAGAGAGAGAGATAGAGAGCGAGAGACAGAGACAAACACAGAGAGAGAGAGAGAGAGAGAATTCCATAAGGTAGCTAAGTGAAATTTATGTAGTGGCACAAAAAGATATGTCTAGCTAGCTGAAGAACACATTCCAAGTTTGCACAATAAGTGAAATATTCAAAATTAACTTGCACATCTATCATGCATAAAAGAACCTATTTTGTCCCTACCCTGTTATTTTGCAAGGATTGCATGCATACATTTTTTTACACTGTGCATATTTTTTCAGCATATTCACCTTTTTACTCTCATTCACGCACCCTAAAACATGAGATATTAGGAATTCACCGCATAGTCATCTGGGTACTCTCACTCAAAGCACAAGATATGCCAATTTTTCTGGTTGGCTCAAAAGCCTTCATACAAATAGTAATAATTCATACGTTTTATATATATATATATATATATATATATATATATATATATATTCTGCTAAACCTACCTGCATCTGCATGTACATCATACATGTACATAAGGAGTTAAAATGATTGGTTTTCCAGATTGACAGTGTAATCCTTTGCTGGAAAGACTTACCACACTAAGATTGTGTTTGACTTTTAATAGGACTTACCATAATAACCTCTGATTAGGTTGTCCCACTCGATCATGGCTTCAGCCCGAGAGAGGAACTGGTAGCCCACCCTGAGGAGGCTGTGATGGAGGAAGCTACCTGTGCTAGGAGTGTAGTAGTACTCAAGGGTGAGCTCGTGGGAGGATGAGATATAAGGCTGTGGTCGAAGATGACTGCAGTGCCTGGTTACACTGGTACCATCCATAATCTGCACAAGAGATTACAAAGATAACATTGCTATATTATACTTAATACCAACAATGCAATTAATACTGCATTAAATATACCCATAAATAACATCAAATCAAATCGTTAACACAAATAACACAAAATGTAATAATACAAACAACACCATCAATCGTAGTCTCCTTTTCCTATTTTTCTTCTGGGAGGGGGAGGAAGGGAGGGAGGTGTTTGGTAGCTTGTGATATCTTTAACCCATATCTGCTGACCTATGGGGTTTCCCATAGCAACCATACCTGCTGTAATCACCTATTATTTAAAAGTCTGTAGATAAGAGTAGCTGTTAGAATGACTTCATTGTAATTGCTTTTTTAAATCGATTTTGTCCTAGCTGTTATTCCTTGGAGTATTTACAATAGCAGCATCATTCATCTATTTCTATCCATTGAGAAAGCTCGCTTTTTAATGTCAAAATGTGCCTTCTGTTTGACATGTTGCATGTCCAATCTACTTGTAATGACAGGGGCCACTGTAATAAGCATGACTCATGCCATCTTACTTGTGGACCTTTCTTTGATTTTTGGATTAGTTCTGGGAATTTTTGTCAAAATCAAACTTTGAAGAAAAAAAAAATATATATAAATATATTATATTAATTTCAGTTTTAAAATCAAGAATATTCCCTCCTGTACCTATAATTGGCAATGCATTAAGCCATGTACAGGTGCATTAAAAAAAAATCCCTCGAAGAGGACTAACAGCTGTCGGTCCCAATGATGCTTACTTGCTTAAAAAATAATAATAATATGGATAGTGTATTCATTACTTTTTCACTGTGCTTGTTGCTATATAATAGATAAGAACAATAACATTAACTAAATCTTCAAGGTTAACGTACTATGCACAATCCTCCTTGTAACAAATGGGGTAAACTATTATGTTGTACTATCTGACACAGCACCAAAAATGCTTAAAACTGTTAATTAATGTCATTTCAGATTTTGCATTCACATCTCATGTCCCTCAGAGACAGTCTAGCACTGTTCCACAGAAAATGAACAAGATTCAAGTCAATAACCTCCTATCTCTCCTCAGCATCTGCCCAAAATGTGCATAATTTAACAGGTACACAGAGCAGCAGGCAAGTGGCTGAGAATTGAATATGGATGAAGCAGGCAGCTAGCTAGCTTGGCATGAATGTGTGACAAGTTTTTTTATAATTGAATTACCTCTTCACACCTTCTGTTTTGTCTATCACACCTTTAGAAGATGGTCGTGCAAGGATTTGCAAACATTTCTCCTACTCCCCCCCCCCCCCCCAAAAAAAATTGTAATGCTTGTCTACAGTTATGACAGGCACAATTCAGCCAATAAGCTTTAATTGATTGCTAAACTATAAAGAGGGTAACATACATGTAATGTATAAGGCAGAGTGTCTATCAAAGAGTGGCAGTGAAGCAAACTGAAATACGTAGGAAGTTACACTATGAACATGACAGACAAAGAAAGCGGACAAAATATACAGTTCCTCAGGTAGACAAAGGAACATCCCTTCACTGCTATTATGTAAAAAGGTGAATATGCATGTGACACCTGTTCTACACATTTTTACATAATAGCAGCGAAGGGATGTTCCTTTGTGTACCTGAAGAACTGTATATTTTGTCCGCTTTCTTTGTCCGTCATGTTCATAGTGTTAAGAGGGACAAAGACAGACAGATGGAGGGAGAGGGGGATAGGAAGGAAGGCAAACAGAGAGGGAGGGACAAAGGTAGAGAGAGAGAGAGAGAGATAGAGAGAGAAAGAGAGAGAAAGAGAGAGAGAGAGAGAAAGAGGTGAGGAGCAAAGGAGATATGAGAAATAGAGGGGAAGGAGGTAGAGGGGGTGGGAGCAGCTAGGGATACAAAATAAGGCAGACACAATGTAGAGAGTGAGGAACGAGAGAGAGAGGGAGGAAGGATAGAGTGAAGAGGAGAGGGGAAAGAATAGCGTGAGGAAGGAAAGAGAGAGAGAGGGGGAGAAGAGAGTGAGAGGAAGGAAAGGGTGAGGAATGAGAGAGTGAGGAAGAAGAGATAGATAGAGAGAGGAAGGAGGGATGGAGAGAGGAAGGAGGGATGGAGAGAGGAAGGAGGGAGGGAGTGCGGAAGAAGAGAGTGAGGAAGGAGAGAAAGAGAGAGAGAGAGAGAGGGGGAAGGAGAGAGAGGGGAAGGAGAAAGTGAGGAAGGAGAGAGTGAGGATTGGGTGAGGAAGAAGAGAGGGAGAGGAGAGGGTGTGGAGTTGATATGGAGTTGGGAAGTAAGAGAGAATGAGGTAGAAGAAAATGAGGAAAGAGAGAGCGAGAGACAATGGAATGGGGGAAGTGAGACATAAGGAGGAAGAAAAGGGGAAGGAGAGTATATTCAGAGTGAATAAAGAAAGACATACATGTACTTCTATTTCAATTTGGCAATTTGAAAGAGCAAGATGCATCTATCACAGTGCATCAAAATGTGTGTATGTTACCCCTCACTGGATTTAGTAATCCAGTTTTATTACATGATTGTTTGCTCATAATCTTGTCAAGAAAATATATCCATTATGTAATCAAAATTTCACCCTGCTTTTAATTGCATATCCCATCAAAATGTACTGTATATGCACTATGAAAATTAAATGCATGTACAACAAGAGTGTCATACATACATGTACATGTATGTCATAGTATGTAAATGATACTAAAATTAAGCTGCAAAGAGTTATCTAGTGGAAATTATTCATGTGATTTAAAAATATGAATAATTTACTTCATATTTTTGTAACATATCAAACTAATAATATTTTTGTAATATAGGTACATGTAATAGTTGTGTGAACTAGAGTGGCTTATATGAGAGTATTTATCCTCCTGCATCTTGAATTCTACATGTAAACATCCCCAAACGTAAATGGAACAGCCGAAGAGTATTTTGACAAATTATTGACAAATAATTACAGAATACAGATGGGTGTTGTGATTAGTTATTCACATCAAATTTTGCAGTGGCTATGAATGGTTTTGAAAGAATTATTCAAAATGGTTCCCAGCAGGAAGATCGAATAACAAATGTACACGTCTTAAATCTCTTAGTAAACATACAAATTTAGAAATGGTTATAGTAATTAATGTCGCATCAAAAGAGTATCGATCTGTTTGAAATTGTAAAATATTCTCTTTTGGGAGAAAAACTGTTATAGTGGACTTTATATGCAAGCTCAATACCTGGAGGAGATTTGTTTTGTTACATTCAGTTTTTATGAAATCTGAATGTCTCCTGAACTACATGTACCTCTTTGAATCAAGTTCTGTCTATTATGGCAAAAAGCCTAAAGCAGGTTTTCATTACACAATTAATCCATGATGATCGATTGAATAGATCCCTAGACCCAATCAATAGCTTGACAGTACATTCCATACAGTGTCCATGCCCAATCGTTGCAAAAGCACCGGAGGTAGAGAAGATGAAAAGCAAATGTTTTACATAATGAACATTGATTTGCACAGCCTGACGCAAACTCTAAAATGGAACCATGCATTTGAACACCAATACTGCACGGGCTTCTGTTTGCATGTGTTTGTGCCATGCAAACAGCGCTATACACCCCATCCTATGTATACATGTGTATACCTGAGAAAGTGGGGACACAGTGGACGGTGGATGAGAGAAGAAAAGAGGATACTTGCATTTGACCAAGTTTCTCATTCTACTTGACAACCCAATTCTTCATGGAATGTCACTGGAGACCATGTTTCTCCTATCAAAATGAAGTGTCTCTTTCTCTCTTCCTCTTTCATATTGTACACAATCCACACCATGCATGAGTAGATAACAGCGCATATATATATATATATATATATATATATATCTCCCTTGTTCCATCTATGCACCTCTGACTCTATGATTATGTACTATTTGGATTATAATAGGTGTTTTTTAGTTTATATGCAATATGAGAGAACAAATTTTACTAAAAATAAGCCAATGTCATTCCATACAATATCACATAAAACATCTTGAGTTGTGCACATTTAATAATTTAATAAAATCAGAATCAATATTTAGCAGAATGCTTCTGTTAAAGAAATTAAACCAAGTCATGTTCAGTGGGGAGGCAGGAAACTAAGAGCACAAAGTAACATATGATACTCTGAGTGGTTGTGCCTTCACAAGTTCCAAGCCAAATTGATTTGTTCACTAAAAACAAGCACACACTACAAGGACATGTCAATAGATTTCCCTCAGTTCATTCCTTCCTTCGTCTGGATGTGTATACAATGTATTTGGCAATAACTGTAGAGAGGGTCGAGTGCAACTGTCCACTAACAAGATGTCATACCGGCTGACTTGACTTGATAGAAAATATAGGACCTCATATGACCCAGAGCATCTAATGGAAAAGGATCCACTTATGCTGAAAGGAGCTCTTCCTCCCCCCTCTCCCTCTCTCTCTCTATCTCTCTTACGACTAACATATCTGATGGCAAATTGCCCTATTTCTGCATCAGAACCTAATGGAGTGCATGTAATAAAGCTATTCATCAGGTCTGTGTTTTGCCCCCTGTCCTTGTACATTTGCATCGTAACAGTCACATGACATTCCCCATCTCCTTAGATTCCTGCTCCTACCTGGTCTATCCACAACCCCCCCCCCCCCCCCTCCTCCCCCTAAATGTTTGAGAAATAATCAAAATCTCTCTCCCTCCACCCATACACAGTATGTAAAACACATACATATACACACATTCATATTTAAATGCATGTCCACATGGCTAAACCTTCCTACTGGACTACTAAACACAAAAAAGAAAAGCAATTCAATAATTTGAAATTCCCTCTCAATATTCTTCCAGCTAAATTACTTTATTCTATATACCATCTTGTCAAATTCATGCTTCTTTCCATTTTTTCAACTATAAACCTACTGGTAACCAGTGAAGAGAAATAAATTGAAAAAAATATATCTTAAAGCTCATCTGTACTAGTTTGGCTAGGAGGGATTAGACCACACAGGAAGATCACTGACAGGTGGCTATCTCATCAACTTTGCTCTCAATTAACATAAGAAAAAGAGGATCATGGGGGACCGATGTTTACCGATTAGGCATTGTTTTCTATATAGAGGGAGCAAGTAGCTACAGGTAGTACAGTGGGCTTTTAAAGCCACATTGTATATCTTTTATCATCTCACCTTCACATAATCGCTGAGAAGTGATCCACACTGTGCAGAATTATCCAAGGGCATAAGAAAGAAATCAGTGAAGTTCAGCTTAACATGTCCATGTTTGCTGCGATGAGTCAGGTGAAAGTTGTATGTGGTGGCTAACGAGAAATGGGTGGTTGGGAAACCTGGTGAGACAAAAGTTCCATCTCGTGACTCCTTTGCATTGTGGCTTCCATTAATCCAAATGTGAAAACGATGACTGCTTGTCATATCTGTAAAATGATGATGAGTTGAGAAGGATATAGTATAGTGTTGAATGAAAGAAATATTTTGAAGATGTGAAACAGGTAAAACTGGAATTTAACATTTAGTTAAGCCAAATAGAAGATTAAATTCCTACTAAATTGCTTTAGTACAAATAAAACTTATAAATTCAAAGATTAAAGTCCTCTTGAATTCTGGTAATTACAGAAAACATGTGCTCACAGAAATTAGAAAAAAATTAAACTATATTAAAGAGTCAAGACTACAAGTTAATGATAAGTGCCCAATGATGTTTGTACGCATTGCATACATGTAGTAGCAGAGATAATGAGCAAATAAAGATAGAGAGATTAGAATCCATTAAAGGACACATGGTTTTTCAAAGTTTATAATTTTCAATAAATATGATTTCCAGCCACTTTTCTTTAAAATACATTAATTGCACAATAAAAAATTACAGAATCATTTTTAAAGTGTTCTAAACTAAAGAAAACCTTAAATATTCGAGAAAAAATTGAAGAAGAAATAATACATAGGTTATTCTTCAAAATGTTGATATTTTGTTTTCTTCACTTCTGCAATTTTCAATTTATCAAATTGTAAAGTACAACCCGATAGAAATACAGATCGCACAAAATACCTTAATGATACCGCCGCCTAGTACACTAACTTAAGAAAAAATAAATTGGTAAACCAACATGCCTAAATGCTCCAGCATTCTTATCAGGTACTCTCGTCTTAATTATAGGGCAAAGCAATATTACAATCCCCCTGAGATTGGCACATTAATAATAAACAATTTCTCTCTGGCAAAATATGTACTCTAAGGTCGAATGAAAATACATTAATGAAGGTATTCAGGACATGTTCTTCAATTATTTATGAGGAAACAGGTTACATGGAGATTGGTTTTACCTACCCGGTACATGTACATGTCATAGTCATGCACGTATCTATGTGCATATACATGTACATTGTACAATCGATGAAACAAAATGCATTATCCCACAATATGCACAATGCTGTATTTCTATATTCTTAAGTTACGTTATTTCTTAGTAAATTAGTTTCTTACTGTCACATTGTTGGCAGCTGAAAAAAGGAATTGTTCACAACTTTCTTTTAATCTTAAAATCATTTCTAACCATTGCAATACAGATTTGACCTTTACTTGTACAAATTTCAAATCCTACCTCAGTAACAAACTATATTTTTACAGAAAGCAGGATAAAACAGGGAAGGAGATTGGTAAAAGCTTGAACAAAAACAGAGCAAAATATAAAAAAAAGTTATGCATTTGAAAGTTCTAATCACTTTACGTATGGAAGTTTAATGTATCCTTATCTGAAAATTTGTGCAACATTACCACATTATCATCATAAAACCTAATGAACACTTAAAGATAAAGACCAGTTATGGTCATGTGATTGCATTATGAAAGAAAAGTTGTGGAATCGATCAGAAAAGGTTGCCCATCTAGCATGTAAGTATTGGTGTGTACTGCAAGGTTTTGGAATCATCAAAGAAATTTGGCCCAGCCTTGGTAAAGTTACAAGCACTATACACAGAAAGATGTATATAGGACTATGCGACACGTGTGCGGTATCTATTAGGTCCAAATAGATATAATAATTTACCAAATATATCAATTAGTAGGCGGTTTCTCAGCAAAATTTGTATCATCACGTATTAGTCAAAACATATTTTTTCACATGATTGGTAATAAGAGCTTCCATTTCATTTTTTGAGAGGGGGGTGTTTCCAAAACTGGTCTTTACCTTTAACTTAAGCATATTGATCACAAACATTCATTTGCATATATATGTCCAATGTAAAGTTGTATAACATCAAAAAGTCATGACTGCAAGAGTGCAAGTCACCAACATTATCTTGAAAAACAAAACAAATAAACAAACACAACAAAAGAGAAAAACCGATAAAAGAGCAGATCTTCTTTAGATGTGAACATACCCCTGGAGTCACGGTGATCTTGGAGCATTCATACAAAAGGTGTGTGGGGGTGGGGGACTGAGCATGCAAAGGAATCCCCAAAATATGAAGGATTGTACTTTATTTTCAGTTCACAATGGATAACAAAAATGTAATTCATTATGTTGAAATATACAAACAACTTAAGTTTATATGTCAGATTCAAAATTACATTTCACAGACCTAACCAAACCTTAAACACTGCCACAGTCCTTATCATATGATGAGATCAGGAAATGATGAGGCATTAGATTCTAGTGAAGAAAATAGTTTTAGATACAGGTTTATCAAACAAAGCCACATGTCTATGTTGATTTGCCCTGCTGAGCTAAGAGAACAGTGATGGTAGGCTAGTTTTCACCTTCGGGTCTGTCTCTGTGAGCGTTCTCCATTTTGAATCGCAGCGTGTAGGCCAGGGCTCAGGTAATGCTGCATTGAAATTAGGCACATTATGATTGTGCATGTGGTACTGTAAGCTATGGTTATTGTGCATTGCCTAGGTGTATTTTTTTCCAAATATACAGGTATGTTATGTTAAAAATTGGCAAACTGGTTTTGGCCTTCAAATGAATTAAGACAGGTTTTGTTTTTTAAACTAGTATTACTCATACAGTGTGAGACTACATGTTGTATGTACTTGATGTGCAAGGCATGCATACATGATTTTGATAAATGGTGGGACTTTCAGATTATTTGTTTTTGTTTTAAGGATACCATAAACAAATTTCTTCAACACAAAGAAATTGAGCACGTGATTTACCAGACCTATGCATCGATCCCACCGACTACTAAGAGAGAAATCATATACTGAGCCCCTCCCCTCGTCAAAAACAAAAACAAAACAAAAATACTGGGAGATACATGTATGTACTGTAATGTACCAATACATACTCTACTCTGGTTGAATCATGCACACATCTATTTTGAAATTTGGAGGAAGAAAACAAAATCTGTTGCCTCTTTTTGTAATATTGCAAACAATATCAATTTGTCATCATGATGTACGTTTAAATGCTGAATATGATATTCTATGAAACCCATCTCCTAATGGGTACACATAATTACCTGATTGCTGGGGTTGCTGGCTGGCCAACACTAGAATAGTAAGACTCCAGGACAGGACTTCTGTCATGAACAGGGTATGGTGGACTGGTCGCAGCATTGTCTCAGTTTGGTTTGGCCTCTGTTACAATGCTGTTTCATGAGTCTAATCTAACCATTGTTGATAAGTGATCGATGAGAAGCTTTACAAGACAAAAGCAGATGCAATCTGTTTATAGAGTAGGAATACAGACAAGTGTTAAATGATTAGCAATCCATTTGAAGAAGAAAAAAAAAATGAGTGTGACTGCAGTATGCCTCCAGTTAAGTTCATGGCTCAAATTTCTCAGGAAATATGAAAATTAAATTTCAAAAATGCAATTAACATCAAGACATCGGTGACGTCTAATCCAATGAATCCATTGACTCATAGATGGTGCAGAATACCAAAACCTAGATGACACTTCATACCAAACTGTTTTTGAGGTACTTCCATGATGTACTGACAAAAAAAACCTCTGATCTCTGTGACCTTTGACCTCTTGCAAATTATCGCAAAATCTATTGTATTGTGGATAGCAAATTATTAATTTAAACTAAAAAGTTCTCAAAAAGAAAAGACACTCCCTATAAATATAGTCATATATTTTGTAAAAATTTCATTTTTGTGTGATAAAATGATTGGGAAAGTTATCTCGCATTATACAATGGTGCTGGTTATTTTTTACCTCACTGCTATAAGAAAGCAAAAATGCTTGTAAGTAAGCAACCAGACAGCCGACGGCTTGACACTGACATTACCGATTCAGCCAATTTAATGTAGGTCTATGTTTAGTGTTTACAACTGTCAAAAATTCATATCTATTTTTGTTTGATTTTGTTCAAACTTTCACCAGTCTTCTTTGATTTTTCTGCTTTCTTTTTGATTAGTTTAACTGCTTGTTATTGCATGGATTTCCCTTTATTTCAAGTGACCATACAATATCTAGCAGTGGAACGCCCAGTTTAGAATTAAACTTCCACTCTTCTATATGTACGGAGTGTTGAACAACAGTCAACCAGTCGTTACACAAAATATATCCTAATCCTCGAAAGAAATTCAAATCACATCCACATGTATACACGTCAACATAAACACAGGAAAGCAGCAGGAATTTACAGCGGAGAGCCGTCGACCCGACCAGGCTTACCTCCGCGGGGGAAACGTGACCTGTCCCTTGCGATCGGCACAGAGCATCCAACGTTTGCTGAGCTAGCCGCCGAGCCCGAAACCCTGGCTGAGTTTCCTATTCAAATATAATGAGACGCAGCGTGAAGAACACACGTCACTGAGTTCCACTTATCGGCAGCGAAGCATCAACGGGAAAAGCAAACGAGTACGACGACGACAGCTAGCTAGACAGCTCGTGTGTTATCCGCGCTCAGCTAGCTCTGCTCAGCTCAGTTCCCGATATCAGTGCAAGTGCGTTGTCAGTGTTTTCTTAGAAGAGGTTTGCGTTTGTCGGGAGCTGTCAGATCTCGAGATCTAGAATGCCTTTTGCATGGAAATTGAGCCCCGGCTTTGCTGTAGCTAGAAACTAGTATTGCGGCAATATCAATGCAGGCGTTGTAGTCGATACAGTACGACACAACAATACTTACTCATATTGACTAATGCAAACATATTTATTTCCGTATGATTATCTGCTAAATTATCAATACATGTCTCATGAGAATATTTTAATTATTAGGGCATCCGACGCCGATGGAGCGATGCCAAGTGATTATTCGCTACATTGTTTTCATTTTTGTAGGAATTAAGGATACAAAACGGGTAGGCCTACTCAAAATAAATGTAGGATATGATGTCAATTATGCAAATGACTTTCCAATGACTAATCTACCTTTCTTCTATTCTAGAAGATACACCAACAACATAGTGGCCTAGCTGTACTTCAACAGAAGAAGAAGAAGAAGAAGAAGAAGAAGAAGAAGAAGAAGAAGGGATTGGAGTGATCCACTTTTGTTCAGTGTCAGTGACGGCTCACGGAACTAGGATAACCACAAAAAAGTAAACCCGCTTTGTATAATTTTTTGTTGCAATGCAAGCACTAGACAAATGCGTTTCACGTCAGGTATACCTACAAATAAATGCAACACTGAAATATATCATAAACTTTTATCCCCTGCCACATTTATCTTGCCGAAATTTGGTCTCTCCCCTCGTCCCCTCTCAGCGTTGTAGCATATTATTTGAATATATATATATATATATATATATATATATATATATATATATATGCCTCGTTTGATGATTGTATGATGTATGGTGATGTGACCTGCATATAGTTCGCGCGTGACATTCACCATAATTATCTCGGAAAATCTGATATCACCTATGAAAAAAGGAAAATAAATGACCTAAAATCTTCTATGAATTTGGGTATAAAATTATGAAATATTGACAAAAGATTAGCAAATTTTGCAGTCTTTTGCGTCCGTCCCCAAAAGACGGGTGTCCGGAAATCTTCTGGAAACCTCTACGTTCTTATGAAATTAAAATTGGCGTATTATGCCCCCCCCCCCCCCCCCCATTCACGGGCACGTAGCCAGAGTTTGATGTTTGGGGGGGGGGGGGCACATAATGTAATCTATCGAGGTAAAAAAAAGGGGGGTCAAAAAAGTTCAACCGATCTTGGAAATTTGGGGTGGGGGGCACGTGCCCCCCTTGCCCCCCCCCCCCCCCTTGCTACGTGCCTGCCTATTCCACCGCCTGTCATTGTGGTGGTAGGAAGAAAAAAGTTTCCCTTTACTCTATATACAAAGCTGCTCCGATTCTTTGAAACTAGATACGGCTCTTTAATGACCGCAAAAGGGCATAAGTTGTATAAGCGACAGAGTAAAGTATAGGCAAAAAACAATAATCAAATGGCAGTTACATAAAAATAAAAAAAGAACAGGGGGAAATATTATATTTGTCATGTTTTATACATGTATCCAATCTGCATACAGGCCAGTCCTGTGACCAGATAGTTATTATACAAAAACGATGCGAAATACAATGAAAGCAAGGAAAGGTTGTGGAATGAAGATATTGAGAGCAAAATCAATAATGGTATACACACTTTCCAGTACACCATTATGATACCAATGTATTGGTTAGAAGTAGGCTATTAATGAGATTATCAGTAATATTTTGTTTGTTTAAATGTTCAGAACTGTCAAAAAGTGAATTTTTAAACTATATTGGCGGACAAAAAGAACTGACTATACTAGCCTATTTGTTTCGATGAGTATACCATATACTAATGATGGTTAATTCAAGAGGCCCTTCATGAGTGAAATTGAGATTATAGAAAGAAAGAGAGAGAGAGAATAGGGGAGGGATAGAACGAAAGAAAGAAAGAAAGAAAGAGAGAGAGAAAGAAAGAAAGAAAGAAAGAGAGAGTGAGAGAGTGAGAGAGAGTGAGAGAGAGAGAGAGAGAGAGAGAGAAGGGGGAGGGAGAGGGAAGGGGAGAAAAGAAAGAAATAAAGAAAAAGGGGAATTTGTGCCACCCATTTTATAAAGCCTTACCACCCATGAATGCAGATTGTCGAAATGTCGTCGTCGTTCTGTCTTGGCCTGAATTCTGCTCCCGTCGTCGGAGAAAAACAGTAGAAATGAAATGATATTAGTCCTGTATGTGACTTATTTGGATGTCTGGAAGGGAGATGACGAACTCGTGGTCGATTGAATAGATTACCTTGAGTATAAGCGTTCACGTTCCGCACTGCCGCTATATAAGGCTTATACACGATCGTGCTGCCGTTTCTTTCTTTCTTCTCATTCTTCTTATCAATATTAATCTTCTTCCTTTTCTTTAAAGCTCCGTTTCGTTTATGTTATGATTGTTGGAATCTTATACAAATTTTGAGAACCTTTTCATAAAATAATATTTTCTTGAAGATATTAAGTAAAGTACATGCAGCTACTGCAATGGAATAGACAATCACATATTAGTCGAGTAAAAATAGCGAATTTTTAGGGGGTAACCCAAAAGAATTTATGCCACTGCAGGGACTGATACGAATACTAGTAATCCTCTAAACAACTATTACAAGTTTAGGAAAATTTAAGTAGTGTAAAGCAGTTCAATTTGCATAATATGCAAATTAGATATTATCTTATTAAAAAGTTAATATCTACCCTATTCGTTTTGCATGTAAGTACTAAATGTAAAGGATTTAGTGTTTAAAGTCGTGTTGTAAGGTCAATTGAATACAGTGACAACATTTTCATAATACATGTAATATAATCATATGACTAAAATTTGCATATAAAGAAATTCATATTTTTCTTAATAATTGTGCATCTAAGGCCCGTCTGAATTAATTTAAACGCCACACATTATAATATTATTTTACATGGTAGACACAATTTGATATCCAAACTGTGAGCTCAATTAGCAAAAATAATATGCAAATAAGCGTCCATCATAATGAAATCAAAATTCATATTTTCCTTATGCATCAAAGTATCGAATTGAAACAGATAAAGTATTCAACCTACTGTTTTCAAGGGCAGTGCAAAAGATTGTTGAATTTTAAAAATAATATAATGAATATGATTTGCATAATGTTCAATAAGTCTTAGATAATTTAGTCACGGCATGCATGCATGCACATCTACGTCTTGGAAATTTTCCTGTGATTGTGGACATTTCACTCTTTTCGACGGTATGTGAACATTTTCCGAGATATATTCGTTTTTCGTCAATTTTAATCCAGTTTTTTAGCGAATTTATATTTCAAATTTGAACACTCTGCGTAGCATCAAAACAATTGTGCGCAAAAATATTGCGCCATACTAGTTAAGTTACGCAAAGGACCAGCAGATACCAACGCAGCAACGTAACCATGGAAACTTTACCAACAAATTTACGTGGACTCCGCGTGAAGCAACTACGTGCTGAGTTACAGAAAAGAGGTATGCATACAAACGGAGTAAAGGCGATCCTTCTTGAAAGACTAGAAAATGCAGTAGGCCTAGACGAAATAAGGAACACTAATGCCGCTGGTGATGTAGATGAAGATAAACATGAAAAGCCAGATGATGTCTTCAATGATGACGCAGACTGCCGACAACTACTGCATAATGTACTGAGTGAAATAAAAGGCTTGAATAGTAGGCTAGATACTATCGAGAAGAAGTTCAACAATCTATTCGAACAGCATACTTCTACTTCTACTTCTACGACGATACTCAGCAGGATCCATAAGTCAGGATGTAGTGCAAGGGAGAAGGAGAAGGAGAAGGAGAAGGAGACGGAGAAGGAGAAGGAGAAGGAGCAAGGGAATCTGAGGGCACAACAACAAGTATCTAGGCCTACCACCAAATATTTCCCGACAATTGCTACGCATAACCGGTTTGAAATACTATCCGAGATCACGGAATCAGACAACAGTGCCAAGAGTGTATCAATGCCAATTGAAGATCAACTTCGTGACTACAAGGCCAAGCACCTGAAGTTGTTCTCCAAAACCAACATCACCCATTCTGAAGTTATCTCTGATGACGCAACTGATGACAGCGACGCAACTGTTGACAACGACGCAACTGATGACAGCTCAGACCGATCTTTGTCAACACCTACTAGTACTACTTCTACTTCACCACCATACCATGAGCAGATAGAGGGATACCGCCACCGACATAGTGTGATCCGCAACAAACGAGATGTAGTTGTGGTCGGTGATTCCATGATAAAACACATCGACGGAAGACATCTCTCCCGCAGCAAGAATGTGAGGTGCGTCTCTTTTCCCGGTGCAAAAGTGAGAGACATATTCACCTCTTCACCTTGCGAGTTTCTCAAGCCAGGGGGAGAACTGATCATCCACGCTGGCACCAATAACATCTCTGAGGGTGCTGGTGAAGTTTGCCACCAAATCACAGACCTCGGCAAGTCTGTTGCTGCCGAGGGGTTTAACGTCTCAGTCTCTACGATCATCCATCGTAGAGGGGAGAGTGAAGCGGACAAGAAGCGGGTTGATGAGATCAACTATCTGATGGAGTTGGCAGCCAGCGAGAACAGATGGGGCCTCATCATCAACAATGATATCAGCGAGCAGCATCTCGGGCGTGATGGCGTTCACCTCAACAGAGCCGGTCAACGAATCTTGGCAGGCAACCTGAAACGCCTCATCAACAGTGCTGACCAACCGACAACACGAGGCCATGGCTGGACTCAACGGTCGTCCGATCAAGTTACAGGCAGTGAACCTGGAGCAAGGCGGCATCAAGCCATCTACCGAGAAAACCAGAGTCTTCATTCTGATGAGGAGAAAAGCAGCCCCGTAAAGTCCTACGCCGAATCTGTTTCTGGGAGATCTTTGGATTTCAGTGCAGTCAAACAGAGGTCACGACTGAAACCAGCCTTCAGACCATCCAAGGTGGACATGAAAGACTGGGCGAAATATCTTCAATTTGTAAGAAGGGTATTGAATTAAGTGAAAGTTTGACAAAATCTAGTGATGATCCGAAAATTATAGTTGACGGTCGAAAATATAAGTTCCCTTGTGGGAACTGTGATAAGCCAGTCAAATGTAATCAACACGGCCTTCTGT